ACCTGACCATTTTTGGCCAGTTTTGGCTGGTTTCAGCCGGTAGTATATCCATCCCAGCAAGAAAACATGTTAGGGAGCCTCAGTTGGCCCAAAAAAAATCAAAAACAAAAACTTACTAGCAGTGGAATTTTTTAGTGCAATGGCTCCGCTGACTCACCTTCACGGCTGAGAGTTTTTCTTCAGTCAACCTGTAAAAAACAAAATGGTGAACACAATGGTAAAAAAATCAAACAAAATAGGAAACGGAAAGGGGCTCATCGGAGGTGATTTTTGGTTTTTCCTACGGCGGCGGCGCCGAACTTTACCTGCAGTTTTCGACTTATTCGCTGTTCCTTTTGCTCCGATTTGGCCATGAGAGTGTTCAAAATTAAATTTCAAGCGAATATGAGAATTTTTACCTTTTTTGGCAGTCGGAAGTGGCTCCAACGTGGCAGTTGGCGACTGTCGGCTCCCTTCTCGGTGAGTGGTTTTTCTTCTCCGGCAGGAGGCTGGCGGCTAGAGTTTCGTTTGATGTGAAGTGAGATATTTAAACTTGTCTCTCTTAAATCTGAAGTGTTCACCACGTTTGATCTCGACCGTCCGATTGCATTTAAGGAGAAAATGAATTTAGACTGTTTATCGCGATTTGATCTCGACCGTACGATCACATTTAAAGAGGAAACAAATCTGGACTGTTCATCGCATTTAATCGCGACCATCCGATCATGCATGAGGAGGGAACGGATCTGGACCGTCCACGCGCGCGAAAACGCATCTGAGTCGTCCGATCGCGGGTACGTGAATTAGTAGCGTGGCCTCTCGCATGGCACCTAGTCAGCGTGTCTTGCCACACAACGCGCTACAGTTCGTTGGGGCTGCTGACTAGGCGGTGCCACATGGCGTATTTTTTTTAACTGCTTTTGACCTACAGTTTCTGATTTTTCTTTCAAATTTTCACCCTTTTTTCCTAAAATTGTTTTCAATTTTCATCCTCCACCTTTTTTTTCCTAATTTTTACATTAAATAAAAATTTATAAATTTAAAAATTATATTTTTATATATTAATTTTAATTTTTAAAATTAATCTCAAACCAAATTTCGAGTCGAGGTATTACAACTCTCTCTCAGTTAAAAGAAATTTGGTCTCTTAAATTTACCTCTCTCTCACTCAATCAAACAGTTGGAGATATTGGGATATAAAGTCTGAATCTATCTCCCATGTGACCTCTCTCTCTATGTGATTCTGCTATAGGACCTTAACGAAAGACATTTTTCGGTTGCGGAGTACTCTACTCTTTCGGTCTATAATACCCACCGATACTTACTCGTAGGACAGATCCTCTTGGAGTGAAAGGGGCTCGTGGGTTAAGACGTGAAAGGAGTCCAGTTTGTACTTGCGGAGCATGAACACATGAAACACGTTATAGACCCTGGATAGTTCTGGAGGTAGTGCCAGTATGTAAGCAGCGATGCCAATTCTGTCTAAGATTTCAAATAGCCTAATAAACCGGGGGGATTTAGTTTTCCTCTCTTGCCAAATCTACTAATTTCATTGAAACGAGTGACCTTAAAGAATACCCGATCACATTTCTCAAATTTTAAAACCCTCATCCAAGAATGGATGTTCTTCCTGATCTTAACTATTTTGCTTGTAGTCTCTTCCACAAGATTTGGACCGAACAATTTTCTATCACCCACTTCTTCCCAATAGATCAATGATCTGCATAGGCGACCATATAACATCTCGTTAAGGTCCTAACCTCGGGCGCAAACCGGCCCTCTATATATCTCTCGGCATACTCCACCACAGACAATCTTCCTTGTCTAAGTCCAGTAAACTTTGCTTCTTTTCGCTCCACATTGAAAGCTTCTAGAAACACCTCCTAAGTGATTGGGGAGATCAGAGCTCTTCTTTTTAATTTCCACCAGTGCTTGGCGGATCCTCTTAACATGAATGTAGCCAGTTGTACCTTCTATTTTGTGGTCACGGTTATCACTTCAAATAATTTTTCTGTTTCCTTTATCCAATCTTCCGCCACCAACCGGTCAGAACCCCCATTGAATGCAGGAGGGTTAGCCTTTGGTATATTTCAATGTTGCTTGTTTCCGCTACACCTAGGTGAATCCCCTATTGCAACACCGATGCTGTCTTCGCCCGTAATGCTCTATCCCTTATCATAGTAGCTAGACTCTCAACTACTCTAAATAGTCGATTAAAGTCCTCTTGTTGCACGCTGGACTGCCATATATGGGTTGTAGATAAGCCAGTAGCGGATCTCGGCTGTGCGGGAGGGGGCACGGCATGGCACGGGAGCAGCCCTTGAAATGCAGCGAGTGGCACCTGGGGAACCCCGGTGCTCGTCCTGGGGCACCTGGTGAGCCCTATGCCCCCGGAGAACACTTATTTTTTTTAATGGCGTAAGCTAAGATAATTCCACGGCCACATATGAACACGTCATTCCAAATCCACTACAAACATAGAAACCTCACCGCAATCTATTATTCAAAGTCACAATAAACCTGCAACCCTACATGTAATATCACAGTGAAGAATAATCTCACAGACTCCCAGCAGACACACTATCTACCCTACTACTAGTTATTACACACTCAATCATGCCAAATAATGAAAACATTATTGCTCTATTCCTCTATCCGCTAGGCTCGAAAATCAACAACTCTGATCCCAACTACATCCCTACTTCATCTTTAAATAATAAGGAGTGAGTATATACAACTCAGTACAGTAAAAATTAAGTTACAAGCATCATATACAACAATAGAGAACTCAGGGGTCCTATATGTACTCCACCTACTCAACCTAATACCTACCATTTGTAATTTAAAAATTATGCATGTTAATTGTGACCGCCCCTCGATGTCCCCTAACCGTACAAATACTCTCTCCCATCACCAGTATCAGCTATCACCAATAAACCGCTTATCTCCCGACCCCTAATAGGCCACACACACACACAGATACCATTCTCACCCGTCACCAGTATCAGCGCTCACCAATAAATCACCTATCTCTCGACCC